TCCTGCTGTATAAAACTTAATGAAATCTCTGTTAGTCTGGTTTCAAGGTTAACTTCTTTTCTCTATGGTGGACATGCTGTTTTATGAAGAGGCTCTGTATTTTGTGCTTTTTATTTCCAGTACGTGAAGCAAAATTTACTAGCTGGGCAAGGTAACCTCCTTACAACTATCTGCTTTTTCAAAATCATGTTTCTTAGAAAAATAGATACCAATGTTTCGTGCCAAGATCAAAACCAGAAAAATCTTTAAGTCCTGTAAGAGGCTTATGCTACATGAACCAAAATCTGTTTTTAAGTGAAAATAAATGAACTTTTTACATATTGCTCCTTCTGATACTCTTCACAACTAATGTAAAGATGTCTTTGCTCCCATGAGAATACATTTGCATCAGAGTTGATTTATGTGAAAAAGGTCAGAAGTATTTTTAAAAGCTGAGAGTCTTCATATTCTTCACATAAAGAGATATTTGAACTCCTTTGCATCAGAGTTAATTTATATTTCGGTGCTGGAAAATAAATAAATAAATAAAGAGATGCTGACTTTAGATAGGTGCTGCACCCTCCCCAGCAGTATAATCACCAAGATCTAAGGGTGGAAGAAGGGCAGCTGGCCTGTGGATATATAAGAATAAAGGATGCTCAAGACACTTTGGAGGCACCTGTTCCTGGCACCTAGCACTTCTCCTGTTTCACCAGGATTTTCTTGACTTAACTCTAGTTAAGCCTGTCTGTCTCTAGCCATCTGTCTGTAGGAAGGCAGAAACATGAGCAGCAGTACTTTTGGATTCGATACGGCAAGCAATAGCTTTCAAACATCTATGTTGTCAGGTCATTTATTTATTTTTATAGCCTCACAGGATTGCCTAAAGATCTGCTTATAGACTCTTCCTGATAGCCTCTCCTGTGAAAGGGGTTTTCCAAGCTGAGTAGGATTTAGGGGGGAGGGAGGGCCAAGGGAGGGATTTGGAAGCCAAGCTAATAAACAACCACCCAATTTTCTGCCAAGCTCTTCTACTTTGAAAATCTTTAGTAGACAGCTTTTGTGCAATTGCCGCTCTGTGCAGACATCTCAGGATTTGGATAGCCCATGTTGTTTGAACAGCCAGGTTTGGCAACTTTGTTCATTTCTCCGTATGTTCTTTTAATTACTTCTGCCTTACTGTACTGCATGCCAGGAAAAGAAAAAGCATTCCTCTGGCTTTTTTTTTCCTTGCCCTTGCAGGAGGGGGAGGCGGGGTAGTCTTCCAATTCTCCAAGTCTCTGAAGATAACGAAGGTGTGTCCTCAAGATAACATTATTCCTGAATAGCCATTTCTGAATAAGCTCATGTCTTCAGTTTATTCATGGCAGAGAAATCCCAGTGATAGAGTCCCTCAGTGGAAGCTGGACTAGCTACTGGCATCTGCAGAAATGAACTGAAATTCTGGACTAGGAGGACTGTGATTTGGCCATTTCTCCTAATTTTCCATAAGAAGATTAACAGAAAATTCAACATTTAAAACCGAAGCTGAGCAATAACATGTCAGTGAGAATCTCCGTTCTGTAGATATCCCTCTGCCTTGCTAGCAGGAGTAACAGAGGCAGGGAACAAACTTCGTGCTCATGCCCTTACCCACAGCAGGGTAAGTTTAATGCTGAAAGTCTGAATGGCAAGAGCCGGTTTGTGGTGATTTTCACTAAACGTTTCTACCTTCCGCAGCAGATGTAGCGTGAGAGCTGGAGTCAATGGATGGATGATGTCTCTGCAAATGTGATGTTTCTAGCCTGCTGCGTGATGTTCAGAAGACTACAATTTGTGCATGTGCACTACTTCCAATGCCTCTCAGGCTTTCTATGTGCAAAAAGGAAGGAGACATTATTTTTTAACCCCTTAAAGTGGGGGGGCACATGCTATTTTAAATAACGTGTATTAGGTAGGTATCTGATAGTGCTAACTGAAGTATTAAATTAGATATTTGTCTATAACCTAAACAGGGCAATATTAGGCCCTGAAAATTATTAAAATAATTTTCATCTTAGCATCACTGTCAAAATACTGGGGAAATAATCAGAAGAAAAGCAATAGAAAGGGCTTGATTTTGTAGTATTCATATTGATTTGACACTTTCAGTACTTCAGGAGACTGGATGAACATTCAGTGTGTGGGTTCCAAAAGAAGCATTCCCCCAGACCTGGAGGGGGGTGGAATTCCCTGGTTTTAGGAAACAAGGTTGTATTACAAATGTAAGATTGCACATAGTGAAGCTACAGACCAGCTTTAGGTTGAGCTGCATGAAATACCTTAATTCAGCAGGGGCACCTGGACTCATAGGTGGTAATTCCATTTAGTTCTTAGCACCATCATGTTCATGCTGCTTTTCTTTCCCTGCAAAGAGCTGTACTTAACCTCTGACATCTCAGTAGAAGAAGAGATGAACGTTAAGATATATTGCATTTCAGTGGTGCCATCAAATATATTCTCTTCTGTGGGACTTTGAAAGTGTCAGAAGACAAGAGCAACAGTGAAAAAATTAATGTTTGCTTTGCCACCTAGCAGTCATTGAACAACCGTGAGCATACTAAATAACAGAGGAATTTATTCATTAGTCAGTTATACACCAGTTAATGCGATTTTTTAGAAGTCTGGATGAGAATACTTAGCTGGTGAAAAACTGCTTTCTGTGCTGCTTTATGCGCTGCTTTGTGCTTTTAGGCCGTTTCTGGTGTGCAACAACAGCAAGTTGTTTGTCATTTTGACAGCAAGTGACAAAGTGCTGTAACATGGACTGTTGTTTCCTTCCTGGGAAAGAAACTGAAGGAAGGGCTCAGGCATTTCACTATTCAGGATCCTTTGGAGCTGTAACAGGAGCAGATAAACAATACTTAGTGTCTTCTGAT